CTGTGCTTGTGTGCACCTCTCCGTCGTGGGCTGCAAGCTCCCACGTCACTGGGGACAGTGCCCTTATGCCAGGCTCCGTGGGTTGCCATCTTTCCAATTTTAGGTATATGTGATGTATAGATTTGAATGTTGCTATGTATGAGTGCTGGGAGCAGTTGGAGGGGTAGATATGTATAGGACATCATGTGTTCAACTGTGTCTTGCTTAAGGGAACTTGTGAAAACTACTTTGATGTTATAGATAGATGCCATATAAATCATAACTGCATGTGGAGCCCTCCAAATTGTGTGCATGTGTCTAATGTCACATATGTGCACTGTCATTTGCAAATACATTTTTATGCAATTTTTTCCTCTTTTGGTTGGAAAGTAACCCCCCAGTTGAACTGTGATCAGGACAAGGGGTTTTGTGCCTTAAGTCACTTGCAATGAAAATTTCAAACTGATGTATACTCATGCAAAACAATGTCGGGACAGGGGGAAGTCTGTCAAAGTCTGCGGTGGGAGCAGTGCCTGGGGAGAGCTGTGGGGGGCTGTGCCCAGTTTCCTGAGGCTCTGTACCATGTTTCCCTGGCCCCCCAGGGCCCCCCTGCATGCTGTAGCTGCTGTTTGGTGTGGTATGTGTGGCATCAGGGACTAGGGACTGCTGGTGAGGACTTTGCACAGCACTTGACCTGTGGGATTTCCTCTCTCCCATCCTGCCCTTTTCTTCCCTCTTCACAGCCCCCCTAGAGAGCTGGTGCTTGGACATCTTGGTGGGGCACCCCAAAAAGAGGTCAGCTCGGTGGGGCACCCCAAAAACTCCCACCCAACCTCTGACACAAGTGGCATGAACTTGGAGCCGGGCGAGTGCGGGATGAACTCAGTGAGCTGTGGCAACGGGAAACTCCGCCAGTGGCTGATCGACCAGATAGACAGTGGCAAGTACCCCGGGCTGGTGTGGGAGAACGATGAGAAGAGCATCTTCCGCATCCCCTGGAAGCATGCTGGCAAACAGGACTACAACCGTGAGGAGGATGCTGCCCTCTTTAAGGTAAGGCTCGGCCTGGGGTTGGGACTGTGGAACATAGACGGGGCAAGAGGGATGCCTGGAGGCTCTGCGATGCCCCTCACCATCCTGTCCTTGACACCCTCTTCTGTAGGCTGGTTCTGCTGATTGGCTGCTGCTGCCAGCTGCCTGGCTGGTGGCCCTGACTGTGCCCTGGTGTCCCCTGTATTTGTGGGACAGACCCCCCTTTTGCGCTTCTCTGTGTGGAGTTAAGTGCTGGTGAGACTGCAGCACATCTTTTTCCACATTCGTCTTGGATTGTTTTCTCCCCTTTCTTGCACCTGCTAAACTGTTTTTCCTACCTTACCATACTGGGTTTTTTTTAGGCTAAACCTATAGGGAGTAAATTCATGCACATATAAGCACACACATATAGGCTGTTTCAAGCATTGTACTTTGTAGTTGATTTTCCTTTTTTTCTTTTCTTTTTTTTTTCTTTCTTTCTTTTTTTTTTTTCTTTTTCTTGCTCTTTTGATTATCTGAAATGTTTCCAGGCTTGGGCTCTTTTTAAAGGAAAGTTCAGAGAGGGCATTGATAAACCAGATCCCCCTACCTGGAAGACAAGATTAAGGTGTGCTTTGAACAAGAGCAACGACTTTGAAGAATTGGTGGAGAGAAGCCAGCTGGACATCTCAGATCCCTATAAAGTGTACAGAATAGTGCCAGAAGGAGCTAAAAAAGGTAAAGCATCTCAAATTCCCTGTGTAACAGAGTGTGAATATGTCTCATTGCAAACATATGAGGACTGAAGTGTGCTTTTCTGGAATGGCCCTGCAGACTTTTTAAGTCTTTTAAGGAGCCAAAATGAGGGCTCAAGTGCAGCTTGTTCTGATGACTTTAGAGCCTGCGTCTACAGGAGGACTGCTGGCATTTAAGTCAGAGCACTGAAAGGGAGCCCTTGCAAGAAGATGCAGACAGGCACCCTGCACATCACTGAAGGAATTACTCTTTTAGCTGGAGCCTCCCTGCCAGTTCTGTGTAATGAGAGCCAAGCAGGCAGCTCAAGGGACAGGCAAAAAAAAAATAAAAATTGCATGTAGGATCTAGGTTCTGAATACAGGGAAGAGTGTTTTGAGGCAGACAATCAGTAACTAGTGCAGGGAGAAGAGCTGGAAGAGAGGGATGCCCAACCTGCAGCCTCCAGGGCAGAGGCAGGGGCACTGTCTGCTCTCCAGGAAGTCCTTGGTGCCAGGCAGGGCTTGTAGGATGCAAAGGCTTGGCATCATTGTGCACTAGGTATGGCTGGGCAGCACTGTTCCGTGGGGAACCCAATGGGACAGACTGCCTGCAAGAGGGCACTGGGAAACTGGTCCCAAAGGCATTTTGGTCCTTTGTTTGTTCAATGGCAGGTTGTATGGATTTGTCTTCAGTGTGCTGATTTCAGGTTTCTTCAGATGTGGTTGACATAATTTATTTTCATCCCTCTGGTGAACATAGGTGCAAAGCAGATCAGTATGGAGGAGCAGCCATTAATGATGAACCATCCCTTTCCAATAACGTCTCCTTACACTGCACTACCATCCCAGGTATGGCATTAGTTAAGTGTTTTGCTTGGTACTTCTGCATTGAGCAACATAATTTCTGTGCTATGTGCTATGTCTGTCCTTGCTGGTGGGGATCTCTAGTTCTCTCTGTGAAGAAACTTTATTATGGAAACTGAGAAATTGAGAAGCAACTTTTCTAATGTCAGATGAGGCCACAGGGCAATTGATTTCCCTTGGTGTTGTTTATCCCGGAGTAATGGCTCTTTTCTGTTGGACGATAGATACTAGTGCACTGCCATTCTGTTGATGCCAGAATGTAAGCACCCAATGAAGCCTTGCTCTTTCAAGCAGACATTTACCAGCAGTGCTTTGACTGCCTTTTGTTATTCCACTCCACTTATTATTTACACCAGTGGTGGGAAACTCATTTGAAAGCCTCATTGGTGGTGGTGGCAAAATGCCATTCGTGTAGCCTGGGCAAAGCTTAGACCTCCATGAGCTTTGGCAGAGAAAATCAAGGAGCTTAGATATGAAAGCTGATGCAAAGCACAGCATTAGTTTTGACAGCTGCCTACTAAAAAAAAATCTCATTAAATTGAATAGGTACCGAACTACATGGTACCCCATGAACGGAACTGGAGGGAGTTTGCCCCGGAGCAGCCGCATCCCGACATTCCCTACCAGTGCGCTAGCGTCCCTTTCCCAGCTCGCAGTCATCACTGGCAAGGGCCCGGCTGTGAAAATGGTAAGACACCCCTGTTTAGGATTGCTTGCTGAGGTTGGTCACCTAGAGGAACCTCAGTTTTCAGGTTTATTCCTTGTGGCTTTGATTGGAATTCACAGAAGCGGACAGAGAGGAGTGTTGAGTTCCCTTAAGAGAGGCACAGGTCCGTGGCAAGAGCCTTTGTCTGGGCTCTTGCATTTCCTGCCATCCTATGTGTAAGGTGTGGGCTACACAGTCCTCTGAATTGCTAGAAATCAGCCCCCAAAGTCCTCAGCTGTCTTAAAAGCCTTGAGCAATAAAGAAGGCAACCAACTCCCACAGAAGTACCCAAATGGGAACATATGTTCTTTAGCTTTTCTTTCTGATTTCGGACTTTTTGAGGCACATGTCACTGAGGTTTTCCCTCCAGCCTTGTTGGTTAGACTGGCATTATTCTACTGAGAAGAAAGCTGGAATTATTACTTTATTTTAGTGCTGCAGCAGTGGGACAACTTGTCATAGATTGAGACTCTCTTGGGGCTGGCACAGCAGAAGAAGAATAAAGGAGCGTTCCCTTCCCTGAAGATCTCACAGTACCAGAACCTAACATAATCATGGCTTTTCAAGCTCTGCATCCTTAGGAAAAAGCCTGAATTGTGAAAATTGGCAATGCTGAAGCCTGCAGGGAATAAAACATAACAGAAAGTGAACCATGTGCTGTAGACCCCTCTAGGATAACTCACCTGAGAATGCAGGCATTTGCTTTGTGAGGAGAAGCAGCTGGTTCAGAAGGGCAGGAAAGGATGGAAAGCAAAAAAGGACTTCTTAGAGTAGGTGCTACTTTTTCAGAGGACAGCTCTCTAGAGGTTTTGGCGCAGAGAAAATTTTAGATCTGTTAAAAAGTAAATTCTCAGTGCACTACAACTTTTGCTGGCAGTATATTGGAATTATTAGGCAGAATCCTTTGCTTTTAGTTGAGCTATTTGCTAATAAAGAAATCAGTGTAGCAAGCATAATGAACTCTGCCCTGAAGTACATCCTCTGCAGCGGTTAAACATGCTTGGATGCTTTGCTGAATTTGGAGGCAGTTGGTAGTGGCTGGTATTGGGTTTCTCATTGGGCTCTAAAGCACGTTAGGAGATGTGGGTGTTTCTTATCCACATCGCTTCAGCTCCTGATGGTGCTGGGTTCTGCCACTGGGAAAGGTAGCGGGTACTTGTCTGCAATTCACTTGCATCATCCTCCAGAGACTTTTATTGACATAATGAAACAAGGAAAAACATCACTTGCCCATGTTATAATGCACTTAGAGAAAGGCATCTATTGGAACATCTGATGGGAGTCCTGGTAATAAAACCCCAGTAATCTTCTGCTGCACGTTTTTCTTTATCTACATTTAAACAGTGTTAATCCCAGCTTTATTGTTATACCCATCCCTAGTAAAATTCCTTATACGAAATGGATTGTTTTATACAGGTGACTTATAAGAGCACTAGTCTAGTTAACAATATAAACTATTTCTCTAATACATGTTAGGTAAGGAAAAGGACTAGAGGTAATGCTGAAATATTTCATGCAGACCCAAATACAAACACAGTCCAAGTAACATCTGGAGTGATTGGTAGAGTTGGCATACCTGGAAAAATTGGGAAATAGGACCTTTTTCAGAAGACGGGGAAGGAGAGAGAGTTCCTGTTGGGGCCCAGAAAAACTCACTTTTGCATTGCTGTGATCTCTGCCCTAGCTTTTCTTTCAGGATTTAGGCCGCTGTCACTGACTTTTGTTTGTGAAAACAGGTTGTCAGGTGACAGGAACCTTTTATGCTTGTGCTCCTCCTGAGTCCCAGACTCCTGGCATCCCGATTGAGCCAAGCATAAGGTCTGGTGAAGCCCTCGCCCTGTCAGGTAAGGTCTGTAACCCCCAGGCTTCCTGGGGAACTTGACAAGCGACTTTCAGCTTGACTTGTCTAGGAACCATCTCTCCTTTCTGATGAAAGGAAAAAAGAAGGAAAAAAAAAAAAGAAACTTCTTTAATCCATGAATTTGGTGTATGGTGATAAGCCTCTGTTTTCCAGGGTACTTAAGCACCTCTAGCCCCAGCTCCAAGTGGTGAAGGTTGTTCAAATTAATGGAAGTGCTTCACTGGCTCACAATATTAATGCTGGGTTGCTTTGGTGAGACACCAAATCAGGCCTTCCCAGGGGCGTTTGGAAATTTTGGGGGGTCAGTGACTTAAGGCTCAGTTTTTCATCTGAGAGGAGCCCCCACAAAAATTGGTGTTACAAAAATGGGTGCTTGATTGTGCTCCTGCTGTTGCCATCTGGCTTTGTTCTGCTTCATTATTGCAGGTGGAAAAAAAAGATATTCAGGAAATAAAAGGGAAGTAATTTCAACCAGATTTGCAGATGTCCAGATGCTGGGGAACTGGGAAAAAGGTGTGGGAATAGTGGATAAACCTGTAATGTGGTGCTTGGCAGGTTTCTTGAGCAGGATTGTTCACCTGAATGTATATATATATGCGTGTGTTTGTGTGTATATATAAAATACATTGTACACACACACACGTGTGTATATATATAATATATATTATATTATTATATATTTTCGGTGCTATGTGAATTCTTAGGAGTCAGCCAAGTTGACCAAATGGCCATTTGAAAGTAAGGCTGGGGATTTTGGGTACAGCCCTGCTGGAGCTGGAGCCAGCAGTCTCTTCAGGCAGCTGAGTGCAAGTTTGCAGGTCCCCTGTGCAGAAGCCTCTTTTATGCAAAATCTGGGAGGAAATGTAGCTACTTCCTTATTAAATCTGAGGAAGTGTACTGAGCTGGTGGGTTTAATTGTGAACTTGGAAAATGTGACAAACATCAACTTTTTGTGTGCAGTTTTTTCCTTTTAAACGGAAATGTGAAGTTTGTGGGATTTTAGTTCCTACCAAATTCCCACATGTCAGTAGCCCTTTTAATACAATGAGAGAGCATTAATGCTATCATGCACAACAAGTCTCAGTATTTATATTCTTTATATTTTTTTTTTGTTAATGTGAACTTCTGGGTGGTGCTGACCACCAGGCTCAGAAATCTCATGCAAACTTGTCTCTGGGCCTTAGTACAGATCTGAAGCATAAAACATCCATCCTAATGTACCTCAGTAATTCTCGTTTGTTTGTTTGTTTGTTTCTCCTTGTAGACTGCCGACTCCACATCTGCTTATATTACCGTGAAATACTGGTAAAGGAGGTGACAACTTCTAGTCCTGAAGGTTGTAGGATATCCCATGGCCAAAGTTATGAGGTCAGCAGCCTGGACCAAGTTATCTTCCCTTATCCAGAGGATAATGGCCAGAGGAAGAATATAGAAAAACTACTGAACCACCTGGAACGAGGAGTAATACTGTGGATGGCACCTGATGGCCTCTACGCTAAGAGACTTTGCCAAAGCAGGATCTACTGGGATGGGCCTCTGGCACTCTGCAGTGACCGACCCAACAAGCTGGAGCGGGACCAAACATGCAAGCTCTTTGATACTCAGCAGTTTTTAGCAGGTAATTCCCACTATGGCTTTGATATTGTTTCTGGAGATGTCACCTGGTCGCTGTTCACATCAGCTTTACAGGAGTGCTCTTTTCATGCTACCTTATGAATTACCCCTTAATTCTTCTGGGCAAGTGCAGTCAAGAGGTGGTTGACTTCTGAATAGTCTTGTTAATTTCTGCGCTGTGTGCACATTCAATGCCCCTGAACAGACCAGCAGGAGTGAACTGATGCTTGGCTGGTGACACCCAATTCCCACATTTCTATAAGAAGCATAAGGAGCAACCTAACAAAATAGTCTTTCCTTAGATTGAGTGACATGGCCAAGTGGATCCTGATCTTGGATCTGCTAGTCTAAGTCCTGGATAGGTCTGTAATCTGCACTTGCACTGCTCTCAACTTGACTCAGAGCAAGGTCTTGCTCAGGGCATACAAATTTCAGTAGAAAGCCTTCTTTTCAGTCTGTGCCAGTGTTTAAAAGATATCTTGGAGGTAAAAAGGATTTCAGAAGCTCTGAAATTTTGGGATTGCCTAATATGCTGAGCAAGGAGATGCATTACCTTGCCAGAGCTCTGTGGAAATGTCTGATTTTGAACAGGGCAGTACAGAGGGGGGAAGGGTATGCTTTAGGACAGTGCCTTTTCCTTCCAGTCCACAAAGGGAAGGGGCAAAGCCTCAACTCTGCTTCCCAGCACACCTGAGCAGTTAGAGAGGAGAGCTGTCCACCCAGAGAAACTGGTGGGAGATGGTAATTGTCCCAGAGGACAGCTTAGGCAGTAGGAATACACATTGGCCCTTTTTTGACATTTCTGGCATCACTTAGAGGTGAATTGCGTGGCCGTGATTTGGTGTGTTTCCTTACTAGAACAGAGCATCAGCACCAGCATGACACTCTAAGGGGAATAATGCCTTGCAAAATTAAAAAAAAAAACAACAACAAACTAAACCTAAACCAGCAACTTTAGCATACTTTATGTTCCAGAGTTGATGCATGGTCCTAGAAAAACCATCAAGAGAAAATGCATTTAAAGAGAGAAATCTTAGATGAATGTGAGAATTGACAGTTAGAAAGGGGAATTTGAGGTCAGGGTATTGGCTTGGGCTTCAATCACATGCTAATTTAAAGATGTATAATTCTGCCCCGATGATGGTTTTGGAAATCCCTTTCCCTTTTCTTCAGGTGGTTTTTTAGATGTACTCTGGGTTCTTCCAAACGGTTGACAGGACATCTCTTTTTAGACACCTAACCCCAGAGAGAAGCTCAAACAATAGTTATTTTTTACCCCTCCTAAATTACTTATGCACCAGTGCCTGTGCAAACCCAAGCGTGTGGTTGAAGTTACAGTCTGTGGTGTGTGCAAAGTGAGTTTTTGCATGTGATGATGCTCGGATGGGTTTGTAAGTGACTTGCCATGGGCGTATCACATCTGCATGTTAATTGAATGTGCTGAGGTCCCAGACTGCAAGCAAGCTTAGGGATTCCCCCACCTTAGGAAGCTGGATTTCCCTTGAGAAGAGAGGCAGGAGATCTCTGCCAGAAGAGAGAATCTTGAACAGCAGAGAAAGGGACAGATGCAGAACTGCTATGGACTGCAGCTCTTAAGAAACCATTGAGGAGCTGGACCCTGTGATGCAAGCTGCACTGGAGCTGAGTTGAGAAGCCTCTACTGCTGAGAAAGCTGAAATGACAATAAATGAGAAACCAGGGGAATGATCTCTGGGGAGAGAGATAAATGCATCATAAATGCAGAAATTGGGCTGCTTGGAGAGTAGGAGGACAGAGGAAGAGAACTTGGAGTGTGAGGGTGGCAACCAGAGAAGGGTTGGCTTGGCGGAAGGAGAGGTGGATGGAGCTGGAATATCAGGAGATGGGAAAGGTTTGGGGAGTCACATGGGGAGCCCTTTGGTGTTGGAGGATGCACTTGGGCCTGGAAAGGGAGACAGAGTGAGTGGAGAATTTTAGAGAAGTGTGGGGATGACCTCAAGCCATGATTATCCTGGTGGTGGGAATGGGCTTTCTTCTCCAGGTCCATGCTGTGGTCACTCCCACAGGTATTCAGGATTTGGAGAGTTGCTGAGGCCACATAAAACAGGAAAGAGGAAGGTGAAAGAAATTCCCTATTAGCAGTGTGGTTGGACTAGTCTTGGGTGGATCTTCCTTTTCTGTCCTGTGGCAGCACAGAGGGAAGCAGGGTCCCAGGGAAAATAGCTCTTCTCTCTTGGCATACCCCCAGAAAGTTCATAGCACTTTTCAGGAATTCTGGGGAGACTTTGGGGAAAACTATGCTTTATTCCATGTTTCAAGTGAGATGCCCATTGTTTTACTCGTATAACTGACCCTACTAATAACACCAGTAGTCCAAGCCAGGGTTGGGGTGCTATTATGGTAGCCACTGAATTCACACCCTTGTCCTGAAAAGCTCACAGTTAGAGTAGAAGTGGCAGGGGTGTATTTTGGGAAAAGATGCGTCCGTCATGTTAAGTTCAAAGACTCTCCCTTCCCTCTGTAGCAGGGAGGGTGCTTCTTTATAATACATTGGGTTTAATATTAATTTCCCATAAAGCATGATGAGGGTTATAAATTAAAACGAAATCTTTACCAGTCAGCTATCTAGAAGTACAGCACTTAACACAGAGTTTAGCAAGGATATTGCTTTAGGTGGAATTTTCTCTTTAGTGGATGGAAATGCAGCGTCTAAAACACAATGTTTGGTCCACAACATTGGTGATTTTCTTCTGAGTGCAAGTACCTTATAAAGGCCTCCCCCACCGTCTTTCATAGGGGACACTGACTATTGGAATAATAATATAATTTGACCACTTCACTTTGCACAAGGTTATGAGTTAGTGAAGAGAGTGCAGGAGCACAGAAGACACAGGCTCTTTTGCTGGCTCGGTACATGGCTTAAATACAGTTGTTACCTTTTGTTACCTCCGTGTCCTCCAGTAGACACAGTGGTGGCAGTGGCTCCGTGACTGTTTAGCTGTGCCTGAATTTCATGCCTGGCAGTACTTTGAGTCTCTGGCTCTACTAAGCCATTGGTTTCAGTCCTGCTGTTGGTTCCCAGCTACTGCTCCAGGGGTTCTGCTGTTGAGGTCCAATAGAAGTACTAACTGGAAGGTTTGTGCATATGAAATTAATTGTGAGACAAAACAAACAGAAAAATTACGGTGTTGTAACTAGCTCCCCCTGATCTGTGGGAAAGTCTCCAAAATCAGTCTTCTTTTTACTTCTTGTTGTTTTCCTGACCTCTCTCGTCCTCCCCTGAAGTTACTTTATCTTTTCCCATTGTGTTCCAAGGGTCATTCACAAAGCCTGTCTTACCAGCTTATATTGGTTTTGGCTGGAATACAGTTAATTTTCTTCATAGAGGTCCATGTGGTGTTATGGGTTGGATTTGTGACCAAAACAGTGCTGATAGCACAGGGATGTTGTAGCTAGTGTTGAACGGTGCAAGTGCAATGTCAAGGTTTTCTCTATTTCTCACTCTGTCCTCACAGCATGCAGTCTGGGGTGGACAAGAGTCTGGGAAGGGTCACAGCCAGGATAGCTGACCCAAGTTGAAGGATATTCCATACCATATGACCTTGTTTTCTGCAGTAAAACAGAGCATGGGGGAATTTGCCAGAGGTTGTTGTTGCTTGGGGAATGGCTGAGCATCGGTCTGCTGGTTGTGAGCAACTGCTTTTTCCATCACCCATTTTTCTTTGTTTTGTGTTTTTTTTTCTTATTCTTCTTTTTACCCATTAAACTGTCTTTATCTCAAGGCACAATTTTTTTTACTTTTGCCATTCTGTTTTTCTCCCCCATGCCTGGGGCAGGAGTGAACGAGCAGCTGAATGGTGCTTACCTTCCTGCCATGATTATTCCACAACACAGTACTTTCTCTCTTTCCAGAGCTACAAGCCTTTGCTCACCATGGACGTCCACTGCCGAGATACCAGGTTGCTCTTTGCTTTGGGGAGGAATTTCCAGATCCACAGAGGCAGAGGAAACTAATTACAGCCCATGTAAGTAGGATTTCTGTCTTACCTAAAAGAAACATACTTCTTCAAGGATATGATTCTGCCAGTCAGGCTTTTGAACGTCATGTATGTTTTGAGGGAGGTAATAAATTTTTGAAAATCTGGCACCATCCACAGCAAGGTTTAATCCCCAGATCTGCCAAGGACTGACCAGTAGCCCTCAGTAGGGCAGAGCACCTCATTTTCCCTCTCTGTAGAGTGTGTCATTTGTGATCTGTTGCAAATCCCATCAATACCTAAAGCTGAAATGCACCCTGGAACTGATGGGCTGTGTTGTTATCACCAGACCAGTTGCGCAGCTCGGTGCACTGCCTGGCCAGTGCAGGACATGGTGCTTTTTCATCCACTGCACCTGAAGGTGCTCCAGAATCCCAGCCTGCATCTCAGGGACCTCAGCCCTTAATGAGATGCAGCCTGTGCAGCTTCAAGGTTCAGGTAGCTGGCAAACTCATGGGCTGACTGACCACAGTTCACACACACTCAAAGCTAGTGTTTCGGGATGCTCTCTGAGAGAGGGTGATGACGGAGACTGAGACCAGGTACTTTCTGAATTGGCTGTATCGGCCCATAAAACCACAAGAGAGGTGATAATGCACACAGTAGTGGCAAGGCTTAGCTTATTGCATCCTTGGGGAGAAAACCAGTGTCTCTCTTAATTTTTTCGAAAGCCTCTTCAGTAGCAGCAGAAGAGGGACAGTGTAGTAGCCCCTTCAATAGTCAGACTTTTATCATAAGCTGTGGCCTTCCCTTAGTTGCATGGCTTTCATGGTGCCACACTGCTGCCTAGCAGTTCTCTGGGATGGAAGTTGGGAAGCTCACAAATTCCATCCTGACCTGTGCAATGGCTGGTTAGAGATAGCTGCTTGTCCCTGATTCTCCCTAAACTCTTTTCATTCCTGTTTTGGCTTTCCAGCTTTCCACCCCTCCTTCCTCTCACCAGCCCTCTTAGCCATCTCCTGTCCTGGCATCTTCTCTATGAGCCTCTATCTCCTGCTCTTTCTAGAGCTTTGCTTCCCCCTTACCAATTGCTCAGCCTGCTCAACCTCTTAGACTGTCCCGGCCCGTGGGCTCATGGGGCTTCACCATCCCACCAAACATGTCATGGGAGCTGTCTAGCTCACCTGCCCTGCTGACTTTCCATCTCCCCTATGGCATAGTTTTCCTTCCAAATGGTGCCCATTCTTAATGTGGAAGGACTGGCTGACCAGCAGAAGAGGGTTGTGGAGAAGTGTCATCCAGCCTATCTGCCCCCTGAGAGTAAGGAGAGCTTCAGGTATTAGTTCTCAGTGTACAGCTTAAGTATTTGCAGTCAGAGCCCAAAGCCCTGAGGGGGAATGGTGATTTCTGAAGAGGCACAAGTGAAGGCAGTGTTAAATCATACAAATCCCACTTGATGGTTGAGCAGATTCCTCATCAGAGCTTGAATGAAGAGAAACAAGAGAAATCTTGGTGTTAGGTTGAAGTCTAATTTCAAACAGTCATTTGGCCATGTATCTCAGTCTACCTGAGGGCTCCAGCATTTCAAGTTAAGTCCTCAAAGTACTTTCCAATGCAGACAAGACTTTTGACATATTGCATATGTATTTAAACACCTCAGGGAGCCATGGACATGTGTGTCTTGTGGGCACCACTCACACCCTGGGGCTGGCTAAGGGACTGCAATTTTTTATGCGTCATCTGTGTCACTGGTACATGCCCATCTAAATGAAGGCTGTGGAGGTAAGGAAGTGTGTGCAGGTAGTAAGGCACTCGGCAGCAGAGCTGGGCTAGGCTAGGCAAGACCTATCTTAAAATAGAGATTAGTGAGACCACTGAAATAGTTTTCCCATTCTGGTAAGCAGAACTGTTTTGTCCGGCCTTGTTTTCAACTTAAAACTACCATAAATAATCAAGATGAGGAGCATGAGGTTTTGTCACATGTCTGATTAACATTTTGTCTGTTCTTAAGGTTGAACCAATGTTTGCCAGGCAGCTGTATTACTTTGCTCAACAAAACAGTGGACATCTGCTGAGAGGCTATGATTTACCAGAACTTGTGACTAGTCCAGAGGATTATCACAGATCTATTCGTCATTCCTCTATTCAAGAATAAGATCCTCAGAAAGAGTGTCTTTAAAGGCACTGTAAAGATTGTGCAGAGTGGAGGAGCAGATCTGGGTCACGATTTGGAGATCCACATCACAGCTGGATATGTTCAGGGGTTCAGTGATAGGAAAGTGAACTAGGACAACTATATTGTACAATAAAAATGACGTGTCTTCGACATTTGGATGCTCTGTCTCACATAGAGTTCCACTGTTGCTGAGAATAATTCAAAACTGACAAAATGATTGCTGTTTACGTTTGCTTAATGTTCTTCTTGGATTTTGTGGATTGATACTTACCGAAGACATCAATCCAGAGTTTACACTGTTACCTTTGCAGGGCTATTTATTTTGGATTACTGATCTCAGGGAAAGTACATAAATTTGTGGTGTTCCCAATTTGAAACTGTAGCTACTGTAGATGGGTAGTAAATGTAGATGTTTATTGAGAACAGCTAATACATGTTAGTGGTTATAAATTTAGATTCGTAAGTGTGATGTCTATATTCTTGTATAGAATATTTCAGTGTATTTTTTGAAAACAATGCAATTCTTCAGAGACATATTTTTTTAATGCCTGACTGACATTTGTCCTGACAATGAATTTTTTTGTTGCCATTGTTTTTCTTGGATTGGCCTCCATGATAACAATTTCTGAGGTGATGCATTTATGGTACTGTGTTAAGAAAAGTGACCGTTCAACTCATATTACCTGTGAATTTAGTGGATTAACCACTAAAATTCTAGAGTCCCAAAGAGCAGGTTTAAGAATCAATTACATTTTTCTTATAATTGAAAGCTACTATGCATTATACATATGTATATTTATGTATATATGCATTAGAATGAAGTTGGCAGACCTTGCAAATAGCACAGAAATGGTCCAGCTACCCCTTTTTTGATGTCACATGCATGAGCCAGGTTAAAATAACCACTGCCTCTGACTTACACAGAGCCACCTCTGCTCTTTGTGTGCACTTGCAGCTTTTTTCCAGTGGTACTGAAATGACTGTGAAGGGAGAGCTCAAGGAGAGCAGCATTTGACCTCCTGTATTAAGACAGTCAAGGAAACACTTACTTCAGCATTTGTAGAATTCGATGCAATGTTCAACCTTTAGTGATAGGATGCCATTATAAAGACAAAGAGAAGAGATCTGTTGGGTATGTGTGTCAATGACATTTCCTCATTGGCGAGCAGACCTTGTACTCTTTGCAGCTTTAAATCCAGAATGTGATCCCCTTATGCTTAACAGACATACTTCACTTGACTTCCTAAATGAGGAAGAAAAAATGGTACTTGATCTGGCAGCAGACTTGTGTTCTAGGGACATTGAATTTATACATCTTAAAGATGCATACTCTTCTGGGATATATTATCCCCCTCCTTCTCCACAGTGCCAAGCAGAATCAACAGATCATTTCAACTTTGTTACTTGAAGGGTTTTTTCCTGGCTTAAGGATTTCCATAGGGGACACCTCTTTATTAGACATCAAAAGCAATGCTCTAGGAGACCTTCAGAGCTTCGCATATGCTTTTGTCCTGTGCATACATTTTACAGAAAGGGACATTTGTGTTCAAATTTAACTGGTACAATACAAATATTTGATGTGTTTTTTTCAATTTTTTTCTAGTGGTCATTGCTTCATATGCTCATTGCTTCAGCTCATGTCTTAGAATAAAGTTCTATTTCCCTACCAACTCGATTTGTATGTGTTGTTTTCAGTAGTGGGACAGATATAACGTGCGTGGTTCTGCACTATGAACCTGGGCAGCGCTGCTGGCTGTCTATGGGGAACTCTGTTCTAAGCCAAAAGTGCAGAGAAAGGTCAAAAGGTAAGTGTTTTTGCTTACAGAAATGTCTGCGATATTAGCCACAGGTAGTAGAAAAGGGGAAAATAGGTAGGTTACCCTTTGGCTGTTGGTCTCTAGGCCCATGGACAATGCAGCAGAGCCCTCTAGCCAGGGATCTGGTGCTGCCACGTACCTGAATGTTCTGCCCCTGCCCCTCCAGGACGTCTGGGGCTGGGGACCAAACTAGTGCCCCCCTGCCCAGCCCAGCATGTGGGGACCTCTGACTGCCATTGGCTGGGCTGGCAGCTGGAGGTGGTTGTTGCTGGTTGCTATAATTTCTGGAGTACTTTCAAGTGAGTAAAGGTAGGAAAGGGTGAAAAGGAGGATGATAGAGTGAACTAAAATGGTAAAGTTTTGAACAGGAGTGAATTCACCAGGAAGCCCCTCTTTACTGGAAATCAGGGTCCTGAGAGGGGTCCTTGGGTGCAGGAACTTACAGAGCAAGCAAGGTGTGAAATACAGTTACGAGATTTGTGAAGTGTGTGAAAATGGAGGATGGGGGCCATTTTCTCTTTTTGTGGAGACCCCTATTGACTATCAAGGCGCATTATTATTTTTTGCTTTGGAATGAGCTTTTAACTATTTTCCTTGAAGTAGCATAATTTTAAGCCAGTAGCTGTGAAGAGGGAAGGAGAAGAGCACCATCTAAGTTCTGGCCAAACACAACTTGCATAGTTTGAACGCAGAGAGATGCCGGTGAAAGGCTTATTTTAACTGAGCAAAGAGATTGAGATATTTCTCTTGGAGGGATGGTGCCGAGGGAAGAGTGGAAGGAAAATCAATCTGTTGATTTGTACCATAAATTATTTTGCACATGGGGACTTTAAAGCTGCATTTACTTTTGTCACCATTTCTTGCTGTTCAAAATAACTACAGATACCTAAAGTGGGGAGGAAAGAAAAAGCAAACAAGAAGAAAACCTGGAAACATTTTCTCTGTTTAGTATCTTTTTTACAGTCACTCACTATGTGAAAGCATTTGAAGTACTTCCTACCTCTGTTAAATTCTGTTTATAGTTTCTGAGGTCTACTTCCTTCCTGTTATGATTTCGGTGGCATTGTAAATGACATGTTTTACTCCTGTCAACACCAAAGGCATAACAGTTTGGGGTTTTTTTTCAAACGATATTTGTGTCAGTATTGGTTTTTCTGATTTTAATACGGCCACAGCTACAACTGTTTGTTGAAAGGGTTTTTTCTATGCCAGAGAAGCACCTATATTCAAAATTTGGTTCTGCTGAGTAGTTCTTCCTACTGCTGTAGACTGTATTAGCCTTGTGGGTTAATCAGAAACAAGGAGTTATATTTTAAGCTGAAATACAACGTAATGGGGTTTGTGGAAAAAACACAGGATTCACGTGAAAAACCCTGTGGCCTTTTAGACAGGCATATGCACGGTGTTTACATCAGCGTTTGTCAGCAGCATGGAGGCGGGGAAACACCACCTTCAGCAGAGGGCTTTCAGGAAAAAGTAAAGCATTTTCTCTTGCAAACTCTTAGATCACTGTCTGTGTATACTTGTACAGAAGGGGTAAGGGGGAGGGGAGGGCAGAGAGAAAGAGTACTCACCAATAAAGCCCAGTAGTTTGAAAACATATCTCTTTTCCCAGGCTAAACTGTATCTCAAATTTAAATGAACCTGGATGGCAAGATGTTAAAGATTGCCACAGTGGTTTTTATCTGAACTCTGATCTGACTAGTAGGAGGCTAAGAGTTATTTATTTGTAATTGAGTGCTTGTGAGTTTGGTCTGCTCTGAAGAGAAGTTGACAGGTCCCTGTGACTCAGGATAGGTAGGAGGTAGCTGGTGTGTAGCTCATTCAAGCACTTAACTTTCAAGTGTGTAGTCAGGTAAGAACATACTGTTTGCATCTCAACAGAGTGGTTACATCCACTGCAACCCACAACCACTGCTGAGCTCTAGGAACTAACTGACCAAATGTCTGCAGAATGCTCAGTGCCTTGACCGTGCTGAAATGACAGTCAAGGACGAGCTAACTTAGGTGTCTCAGAATAAGACTCTTTGAACTAGAGACATTGAATAACTTATGAACATGCTGATTGGATGGGTTGTCATTGCCCTTTTGGCAATCGGCAAGAGGAAAAAGCATTTGCCTGTGCTCAAGTGGAAACTGAAAAAGAGGCCAAACACCTTGGTTCTGTGCTTGGATTTGTTTTTCCAGTTGGCACTGGCAAACTGACTGGAAAGCTGATGTCTGAGTGGCTCTGCATAGGGTGATGTTCCACAAAAAGCCAATTGTCAAGAATGGGTAGAGCCTAGTCCAGGTTTTCAGCTCTTAGACAGGAGTAGCTTCATGCCCTGGTAAACAATGGCAATGAAACACAGGACTTCATTTTGCAAATGTATTTTTATTGTTTCCACACAGCATGGCTCCCATGCATGTCTCTGCAGGCAGCTGGCAGCCTCTGCCACTCCAGTTTACAGTGCTGCCAGCTGAGGCCAAACCTGGGACTGTGTGCTGGGCACTTCTCTCAAATCAGTCTCCCAGGCTTCAGCTATCATTTCCTGCTCCCCTCAAAAGACAGATCATGAATTATGAAAAAAAATTGTCTTTTAAGCTAAGAGAACAGACAGATTCAGGTGACTTCATAAACTACAGCTAATGTGTGCCCTCCATATACCTGGGAAGTGCTTTCATCTTTGACCCTTGGGCTCACTCTCTTTTGGTTTGAAGACCAGCTTCTGAATTCTTGCTCTAGAAATGTCTGAAATCCAAAAACTTACAGGGTCTGGTTGTCTTGTCTGCTCATCTCAGCTTTTAATCCCTTTCCTGGGCAAGCAGAAATGATGTCTGTGTAGTATTAACAAAACTACCAGATGAAGTTCGGTGAATGTCCACATGAACCTGGTGAGGTTAGAGCAGATACTTGCATCTTCCCTGAAATATGCTTTCCAAGCTCTTTCAGCTATATCAGTGCTAGTGCAATGTGTACATCACCATGTGCATGAAGCATATTTCATTGCATCCTCATTGTGTTTTTCATCTTTCTCCTTCTAACTTTCTTTGTAAAGAGCCGATGTTTAAATCTGGATCACACAGCTAGAGGAAAGCCCTGATTTCTTCAGTTCTGCAAGATCCAGGTTCTCTCTCTCAGCTGGGAATGGCCAGCACATCACAGGCAGTTGTCAGACACTTTCAGGTTCAAGCACTTCTGCTGTTTGTCTTCAAAATACGTTAGCCTGTCTCTGTTCATGGGTAAGTCCTACTTATATATCAGGGACTGTTTATCTCATATAGTCTTATGTCTTCTCCTCCTGAGATAATATAAGCACTGGCCTTGGCACATGGCCATGAAGAAATTTCCTTTTTTCCTGGTGGTTACACCTACCTAGTAATGTGCATTGCTAAATACCTTGTTGTTGGTCTAGCCACCTTTTGGCTCTCTCTTGGGTCCTCTCTCAGTTTTCCTCTACATTGACCACAAGATCTAAAGGCAGATAGTGCCTCTTACTATTTACACAGTGTCAAGCATGATGGGGCATGACCTTCGAAGGTCAGCCTCTAGACAACACCACAATTCCTATAATTGTGAGTAGGACGTCCTTGCGTCTTGCCAGTTGTGATTCTCACCCTCAAAACCATGAACTGCCCAGCAAAATATAATCATGGCAATCATTTATGCTAGGCTTTCCCATAGGAAGCTGGTGTGCAGCTTCTCTCAGTCTGAGCCACCACATACTTTTTCTCAGAGGTGATTGAATCAATTTTTTCTCACACTCCTGTCACAGCCATTCATAATTCTCTCATAAAAACAAAGGCTGAGGATTTCCAATTTCTAGCACAGAGCATCTAACCTCATATAAAATTGCTTTTCGAGCTAGATGTCCTACTTTTTTCCTTTCAAACTTCTGGGTTTCATGACTTTTATATCCTCGGAAACTGAAGTTATG